CCAATTACCACGTCCAGAACCATCACGTTTGAACTCATTCCTATTGACAGATAAATAATGTGGTCGATAGTTTAAACAAAATAATGAAAATTAAAATAACGCAACAATACTAACCCACGTCCAGTCCCACTACGGCGATCGTAAACCCTGCGAGGTCGTTCCCCCTCTCCAGATTCTCCATCATTAAACCCACCACGGCGACCGCCACGGAAGGAACCTCGAGGGCCACCATAGCCACCACGCCTTTCAGTTTGCTTCCTTTCTTCTCCCTCTTCAGAAGGTCTGTACCCTCCTGAAAATGCATTGGATTTATCACTAGCATTGGAATCACGATTAAACCCTCTGCCACCATATCCACGCCCACGTCCACCACCACGGCCTCCTCCACGTCCAGGCTCAGTCCTTGCCTCTCTCACTGCATAAGGCAAACGTGGGAAAAAAGGATGGAAAGATAAATAAGTAGCAGACCACACTTCAAATTCAAAGTGCTTGTCAATGGACCAACAAAAGTTAAGCTATAGAAGAATAATATCATCCATGATGAACCGCATAATGCACTTCAACATAAAGTTTAAACTTCACAAAAGATATTTATGGAATTGATACAAACAATAATAGCAAGACAAACTGAATCAATAGAGTTCACTAATATGTTAATCTTGCTTCATTCTCATTATCAAATCGCATGCAAATTCACAAATCGAATTTATCAAAGATTTTTTCTAACAGATAAGCTCTATTGACAAATAAGAAGATTCAGAAATGCCTTTGGTTCAACTTCAAATTTCATTGAAATTAACGTACATACATCAACCCAACAACAAATCACAACAGAGATACTCCATCAAAATACTGAAACAATGCATTAAATTAAAAACCCACAAATCTTATTCATTTATTCTCATTACATTCAAAATAAAGCATATAATCAAACGGATTTGTGGGGTAAAAGCAAAGGTTACCAGCTTGAGCAGGAGGAGGTGGCTTGGTGGGGAGCTTTGCAGGCTTAGCTGGCTGAGCTGGAGCCGGCGCCGAACCAGGAGCTTTCTTAGGCTTTTCAAGCTTCTGCTGCTCGGCAGCGGCAATAACCAGACTTGGGTCTTCCGTATCATCATCCAAGAGATCGAATGGGTTCTGGGTTGCCATTGGTTAAGTCAAAGAAAATGATACTGAAATTTCTTTAGCCTTCTTTTTTAAGTTAAAAAAAGAAAACGAAAGCGCTATTGTACGATTACAGCCATGGAAGAGAATATAAATGAAAAAATGGAAGAAAAATAAAGATCCGAGATTGGGGTTTGGGAGGTAAGAAAACTGAGAAATTCGATGAATCGCGAAACCCTAGCCAATGCGGCAGATAACTGAGACTGAGGCTAAACCTAATCTTAAAAACCCTATTGGTTTTGTTACTGCGTGGGCGAGTTCATTTTAAGACTTGTGCATTTTGATTCATGATAAATACAAGACTAAGGATAACAATGGTAAGGTGCAAATACCCTCTCTTCTATTTTCATATCTATTTAATATTTTTAAATTCACTATCCGCTCACTATTTATGAAGGGTAAATTTTTTCAAATCCACATCCACCCACGTAGGTACATTTTTAAATTCATCCTCACACCTACTATCTAACTGGAGACGTATCCGGCTAGACTCGCCTGACAACAACCTTAAGTTATGCATAAGCAATACCCTCTCTTCTATTTTCATATCTATTTAATATTTTTAAATCCACTATCCGCCCACCACTTATGAAGGGTAAATTTTTTCAAATCTACATCCACCCACGTAGTCACATTTTTAAATTCATCCTCACACCTACTATTTAATTGGAGACGTATCCGGCTAGACTCGCCTGACAACAACCTTAAGTTATGCATAAGCAACAAACATAAAACAAACACGTCCATTAAAAAACATAATAAAATAAACCAATGATTATCTGATTTAAATGTTAACATAGATTTAAAATACATAAAATACCATAATAAAAGACATAATTAAAGCCTAGAAATATAAATGACAAACACATAATATTTTTGTTCTTTGGCACACATAAATGACGAATCCTAAAATTATACCTAAATTTATAATGATACAAAATTTAATAGGTATTTAGTGGCATGCAGATGTGGGGCGGGCGGATACGGGGCGGGTAAGGTCTCAAACCCATCACCTGCCTACTATTCGCGATGGGTATCACTTTCTAAATCTACATATGCCCACTACCCACTAAAATTATACCCACCCCACCCCAATTGGAGCGGATACTGTGCGGAATCCACAAAATTATACCCGTTTGACATCCCTAGGGTATCACTTTCTAAATTCACACATGTTCACTATCTACTAAAATTATACTCATCCCACCCCAATTGGAGCGGATACTGTACGAAATCGACGAAATTATAACCGTTTAACATCCTTAGACAATACTACATAGATTTCTTCAATAAATAAGAAGTTGAGAAAAATGATTTTCTTTTCTTTTTAGCCTATGAGAAAAGGAAATTAATATATATATATATATATATATATAACCAGAGATTATAATAATTCTTTATAATAATTCTTGTATTATATATAAAACCAAAGATTATCGGTGTGATTTAAGTTTTGATATAATATAACCCTAAAATAATTTTAGTGATTAAAACGATAATTTTTAGAAAAAATTAAGTTCAAGAAATTGCATATATGGATGTTTATATTGTTAATTATTAATAAAAATTTTGATCAAATAATATCTTATTATTCAAAAAATTTAATATAATAAATCAAATAAATTAGTTTATGTTAATTATCATATTTATAAAAATATATTCAATAAATTATTATAGTCATAAAATTAATAATTAAACTTTTATCACTTTTTGTTCCCCTCACGATTTTAAGACTTTTCTTTGACTAATTCAGGCTGATCCATATCACACTCTTGTTTTACTAGATAAATAAATCTTTATTAATATGGTGTTTGATTTCTAAATATTTTAAAGGTAAACTATAAAAAAGGTCATCAAATTTTTAGGACACTTGCATTTTGGTCACCCAACTTTAAAAACTTGCAATATAGTCATTGAACTTTTAGTTCGTTTTCAATAAGGTCTCTGACGTTAACTCCTGTTATTTTTATCTGACATGACACGCTATTGACTGACCCTAAAATCAAATTCTCCTCTCTTATTCTCTCTGTTTAATAAACAATCGAAGCTAGATTAAGTCAAAAATTTTACACGATTGCATCATTAACCATTTATTTATTTTGGTGTGAGGAACTTATCATGAATCTACTGATTTTCGTCGCTTCCATTATTGATGTTGGGTTGATTGTCTAGCTTGCTTTTATTCGACATGATGTTGGTCAACTAACTGTTTCAGATCAAATGGTAGAAGGTATTGCGAGACAACATGAGGTAAAAAAATAAATATGAAGTAAATAATAAAAGGAACACATGAATTATTTCTTTAGTTTGTTTTCAGTAAGGTCCCATGACGTTATATTTCTTTAGTTTTATCTGACATGGCACGCTAGTGTTGTTTTTCAGCTTAATAAAACAATCTTTTTAACCCATTTCAACTTAATAAAAAAGTGTTCTCACCCAAAATTGTTTGAAAACCTTAAAATTCAAATTCTCCTTTCTCTTATTCACTTTGTTTAATCGACGATCGAAGCTAGATTAAGTCAAAATTTATTGAATGATCGTATCATTAACAATTTCTTTATTTTGGTACGAGGAACTTATCATGAATCTACTGATTTTCGTCGTTTCCATTATTGATGTTGAGTTGACCGTCTAGCTTGCTTTTATTAGACATAAAGTTGGTCAAGGTATTGTTGCGGGCCAAACTATAGAAGGTATTGCGAGGCAACCTAAGATAAAGGGGAAAATTCGAGATAAATAATAAAAAGAACCCATGAATTATACTCTTTAAAATTATTTTCTAATAAATAAATGAAATTATAAAAAGTACCCAAAAAATAATTTATACATAAAATATATATTTTTTTAAGAAAAAAGACAAAAAGGTATTAGAGGATCTTATACTTTTAAAATAATCAATGTGACTCTCGTATTATTTTCTCTCTCTTAATATAACCATCATAATCAGAAAATATACATAATGTGGTCATTTTACCAATGTTTTTCGTCATTGATCGTTATAGTGTTGATGTGGCAGTTCACGGTGTTGACGTGACAGTCCATGGTGGTTGATAACGTGGTGATAGCATGGCTGATGGACTGCCACGTCAACATAATAGATGGACTGCCACGTCAGTACCGTGGACTACCACGTCAGCACTGTGAACTACCACATTAACATAATAATTTTCAACTATGGAAAACAATAGTCAAAAGACCACATTAGATTTAATTTTTAGGTTAGAGCACCATATTAAGAAAAAAATAACACGAGAGCTACATTAATTTTTTTTTGACTTCTTATGTTTTTTTACCAATAAAAAATGAACAATATGCAGGGACAAAGCATGATAAAATTTAAAGAATAATATAAATAGTAATAAAATAAAATTATATACTCTAATTGTTAAGCTATTAATTTAGAATTTAAATTTTAAGCTGCTAGCTTCTTATCTGTTTAATTTTGAAACTGGTATACTTGAGAATAATTTAAACCAGGAAAAATGGCAGGTGAAGACTAATTTGTCTAATTTCAAAACTAAGAAACCTAAAAGATAATTGAACTAAAAAATTGGAGGTCAGAATCTAATTTAAATCTTCTCAAAACTAAGAGGAATATAAAAATAATTAATCCAAAAAATATAAATGAGTAAATATTTAATTTATATAATTTCAAAAAAATTTATATTTTTTTAAATCAAGTGATCTTTTTATAATTTTTCATAGATGAGGATCTTAAAAAAATATAACTTATAATTGGGAGACTATTTACATTTTTTACCCTAAGATTTTTAAGCAGCCGCAAAAGGCCCGTAGAAACCCAACAAGCAATTCACGATGGAATAAATTACCGGCCCCCGCCAATAAATTACCGGCAAAAAAATCATGTTCTTCAACCTCAAAAGAACGATCGCCAATCCCAAACAATGGAGCAAAAAGAAGCGCAAATCTCCCTTATTTGTTCTTTCAATCTTTCTAATTTCGCTCCTATTCTTGTTCTTCTTACCCAATTACACGATCTTCTCGACCTCTTCGAAAACCGCAAATATAGCCCAATCCCAAAAATGCGATACTCGATCTTACGAGGAGAAGTTCTTGTGGTATGCTCCTCATAGTGGGTTTAGCAACCAGCTTTCTGAGTTCAAAAATGCGATTATAATGGCGTCTATTTTGAACCGTACTTTAATCGTCCCTCCTATACTCGACCACCATGCCGTAGCTCTTGGTAGCTGCCCTAAGTTTAGGGTTCAGAGCCCTAAAGAGATCCGGGTTTCCGTTTGGGATCATATCGTTGAGCTTCTTAGAAGTATGAGGTAACTAAGTATTGCCCATTTCCGTTTCACTTAATTTCTCTAGTAAATTTTAGAACTTTTTTATGTTTGGATTTTGGGATTTTGGTTTATTTTTTACGATTAATTTTCCTCTATTGGTTTTGTGGTGGCAAAATGTGGTTAAATTTGTAAAATTTAGAATACGGGGCTTTGATTTACTTTACTTATTTCCAATGAATGATGAACGTTTTAAGTCACTAGATTATTTCAGCTTATTACAAGAAAACAAGTATAGGTTCTTTTTTTTGTTTTTGTTTTTGTTTTTGCACATTTACTGCTGATTAATTGTAGGAAGTTTCAATCGCTAGGTGAATTAAACATTGCTTTAACTCCATGTAGTTTTTGGCTAATGCTTACCTCTTGTTGCAGGTATGTTTCCATGGCCGACATCATCGATATTTCTTCTTTATTGTCATCTTCGCTCCTGCGAGCCATAGATTTCAGGGTTTTTGTGTCATTGTGGTGTGGTTTGAACATTGATTTGGTTTGCTCCAATGAACTGAATGCGCTGCCAGCTCTGGTTGATAGCTTAAAGCAATGTGGCTCTCTGCTATCTGGGATTGATGTTAATATAGATCGATGTGTATTTGCCATCAATGAAGATTGTAGATCAACAGTTTGGACATACCAAAATGGAGTGGATGGGACGTTAGATTCATTCCAACCCGATGAACAACTCAAGAATAAGAAAAAAATTTCGTATGTTAGAAGACGGAGAGATGTATATAAGGCTCTTGGACCTGGAAGTGAAGCTGAATCAGCCACTGTTCTTGCATTTGGTAGCCTTTTTACTTCCCCATATAAAGGTTCTGAGCTCTATATTGATATCCAAAAGGCACCAGGAGATCCAGGGATCGAATCTTTAATCAACAAGATTGAATTCCTTCCATTTGTCCCTGAAATTATAGACTCTGGAAAGCAGTTTGCTACTCAAACGATAAAGGCTCCTTTTCTCTGTGCACAACTTAGGCTGCTCGACGGACAATTCAAGAACCACTGGAAAGCCACTTTTCTGGGTTTGAGACAAAAACTAGATTCGTTAAGGCAGGCGGGTTCTCGACCAATACATATTTTTCTGATGACCGATCTCCCTCGAGGTAATTGGACCGGGAATTACTTGGGTGATTTGGCTAGGGATTCAGCAAATTTTAAGCTATATTTCCTGCAAGAGGAAGATCTCTTGGTGATGAATACGGCAAAGAAACTATCACTAGCCAGACGTGGTCTTGGATTTGAATCTGTTCCTGGCAGTTTGGATGCAGCGGCTAAGGTGGAGCATTGCTCCCCTGACATATTACCTGATGTACTCCTGTATATAGAGGAAACAGTTTGCAGTTGCAGTTCACTTGGTTTTGTTGGGACAGCGGGTTCAACAATAGCACAAAGTATCGAGGTTATGAGAAAATTCGGTTTATGTTCGAGTCCAACTCCGACTGCATTCTGACATTTATTCATTGATAACCTACTTGATAGAATTTCACCGGTTTGGTTCTTCTGGCATGTCTATATGTGCTCTTTTGAATTTGAAGCTGAGTCAGACAGACGGACTAGTACGCAATCAAGCTGTTATTCGATGAGCACCCGGTCTCAGGCTATAAGTTCCATTTCACTCATTGCTGCACTAGACCATTTAAGCTAAGTCAAGGTTGAGTTGTACTTGTTTGTCAAAAGAAAAGGTTTAGGTCCTCCCAGAAGCAAATACTGTTTTGGTTGTTTTTCATCAGACTGATGAGATGTGAACTGGGACACGGATGACATATGAGGTTATGTAAGTATTTGTGCTTCTGGTCAAGGTCAAGTTATTCGTTCGGACCGATAAGTCTCAGTTTGGTCTTTTGATAAACTACACTAATTGTCACTCAACTTTTATGTCGTTTTCACTTTGATTATCGAAATTGACAAAATGAGCAAGGAAATTTTTTACTTTGGTTTACATTAGTTACTGGAATCAAAATAATAGAAAACTTTCATATCTGTCACTCAACCATTCAATCATTAACGACAGTTAACGAGATACGATTCCATATAATTTTCTTTAATAAATTAATGTTAGATGCTAATTTTATCACATACAACATTTCTTCCTATTAAAGAATTATTGTTATTTCTTGAGGTCATAGATTCAAACACCACGTATATAAGGGTGTATGAACGTTCAGTATCGAATGATTGAACGTTTTTAATAGATATTACCTTATATTCAGTCCTCCTTGAATATTTTTTTAGAAATAAACACCTGGCCATAAATAGGGTGATACAGTTTCTTTCTCCACAGAATTTTCACTTGTCACCATTTTTTTAAAAAATATCTGAACTTTATGCAATTTCTTTGTCACCTGCCCGACCATAGACTCGCCGCATATGTTTCTTCCAAAAGGATATAAATTGTTCATGATTTCAATCTCAAAACATCTAATCTCATTTCACTTATTAGTCCATAGTTATATACAAAAGAAAGCAATAATGAAAAAGATTGGTTTGGTCTTTGTTTTGATCTCAATGTTTATAATTCTTTCTATCCATTCTGTTGTCGGTCAAGCTGAAGGAGCAGACCCAAAAAGCAAAAACTCAAAGGAGGTTAGTAAGCAAAGTCAATCAATATATACCATCCAAAAAAAAAACTTATGTTTTTTTTGTGTATTGTGTATTAATAAAAGTGTTGTTTTTATTTGTTATATGCTGCATGAGCCTAAAGCTTCTCTCTCATCCAGGAAACTCCTAAGGACATCTTTGAAAGCTCATAACGAATTCCGTGCTCAAGTTGGGGTTCCTCCACTGGTTTGGAATGAAATCCTAGCTAAATACGCTCAAGAATATGCCAAGAAAAGGGTGAATGACTGTAAGATGGAGAATTCCATGGGACCCTACGGGGAAAACCTTGCCGGAGGCTATGACGAGTCGACCATCGCTGATTCAGTGAGATTTTGGGCCACGGAGAAGCCTGACTATGACCCTGCTTCCGGTAAATGCAAAAGCGGTGGAGACGATTGCTTGCACTATACTCAAATTGTTGCCATGAAGACGACTAGCGTTGGGTGCGCTAGAGAAAAAATGTAAAAACGGGTGGTATTATGTGATTTGCAGTTACTATCCTGTTGGAAACATTGAGGGTGAAAAAGCTTATTAGTTCTTCTTCCTCTTTCGGGTTTTAATTCCTTGGATTTGAAGGAAGTGTTGGATTAGATGCATGCCATAAGTGTTGCTTTAATTCCTTGGATTTGAAGGAACTTTAGATTAGATTTTCAACAAGCTCAAACAATCGATTATACATAGACTGCAAACTTGAAAAAGGGTAAAACACGACTCTTGTCCATTTGACAGTCTGTACATACACTAGTCTTATCTATATATAAAGGTTTATTTACAACAAGTTTTACAACCTTAGGTCCTTAACTGTTGGATGACTCAGCTTTATGTGCCACTTCCAAAACTCTTTAGTATTCTTGACATTTGTATTGTAGACTGCTACTGAATCTTGAGAATCTTGACAATCAAAACTGTAGAGACTTCTATCAAGCCTTCCCTTCATCAGCACATCATTTGAGTGCTCATCCTTAACATAACAAGCATTTGCATGAAACTCAAAATATACTAAATTATTACGAGTTAATGTTGAAACTACAACACGGTTTAGTAATTTGAGGTACACACAAAGTATAATCCAACAATAGTTTTCTAGAAGAGGTGTGAACTAGCTTTTGACCAATATGACTAATCATAATGCTCGAACCATCATCTAGTTGAACTTTACCACTTTTAGTATATGGTTGCTTGTTTGTGAATGAGGACGAATCACAAGTCACATGGTGTGTAGCACCCGAGTCAAGAAACCATTTGGAGTAAGTTAAAGGACCATCACCATAAGAGCATTAATCTAAATGTTCTCACCAGATTCTATGGCAGAGGAGCCCTGTCACTTGCACTTTGACTTACAAAAGGAGTGTAAGTACAATCGACTGTATGGGCTAGACACGAGCAAACATTAACATGTGATTCTGGATGATTCTGTCGTGCTGACACTCCCTTGAAGGTTTGATCAAACTTATGTCAGCATCTACCAACGAGATGTCCTAGTTTTTCACAAAACTTACACTGCTGTTTTGACCTTCCATTATACTTACCGCCATTGTTGCCATTTGACTTAGATCCGCCAAAGCGACTGTTGGTTTGATTGTTTTGATGACCACCCGAACCATGATCCGGGTTGTATCGAGTGAGTTTACACCTACAGGAAAACACGATGAATCCTCCAGATGCGTCTTAACATCAATCAAAACTGAAACCACGTTATCTAGGCAAAAGGATCTCTACTAAAAGTAATGGAAGCAACCGTTGGTTCGTAGTCCACAGGCAAACCATTGAGTATGGTAGTAATGTGACCTACATCAGAGATGGTACTTCCACATGTGACTAAAAGATCAGAAATTTCTTTAATAGCCATCGTGTAATCCTTCATTGATTGCGTGTCTTTCTTCATGGATCAAAGGCGACAGTGCAATGCCATTATCTTGGTTGTAGAAAGACTGGAATAAAGTCTGGTAATTGCAGTCCAAACAGTTGCAGTGGACTCGGCTCCTACCAACAGAGGTAGAATATTAGAGCTGATCAGCTGACTGTTGAAAGATCCCAACGATTTATCTTACTTAACATATCGAAGATAGGCCGGATTGATGACCTGCTCACCAGCATTGTTGAGAGACAATTTGGCTGGAACTGGCATAGACTCATCAAGATACTCTTCAAGCCCAAAACCTCGAATGGTAAGTATCACTTGTTGCTTCCACAACAGGTAGTTCGAATCAGTAAGACAAACATTGATCCTCTTGTTTGCGAAGATTTGCGAGGTATAATCAGCAAGTTTATCGTCATCAGAGGTGTTCGCTATGGATTAGAATTTCAAGATCTGAACTGCAAGAATGAAGAAAACACCAAGAAGAAGAACACACAACGGATCACCTTTTAAGATCTAGAAAGCGATTGATACCATGTTAAAGACTCAAGAAGTAATCTTTTTTTTGTATTTAAATCAACATACGTTCTCATACAAATAGCAATACTATATAAAGACCTACAGCCACAGAAGTAGTCTTATATTTTGACCTAGTTTTGATCATTTTCATAATCATTTTCTTGAATTTTTTCACAAAGAATGACTCAAAAGGAAAGTTTACTTTTCCTTCGAATAAAAATGTGATTATGACATAAAGATTATACATGAACGGACCTAAACGATATTTATATGTAAAACCATTAAATTTTAAGGTCTTGTGATATATCACATATATAAATTTCATCTATTAACATATAATAAAATTGATCATTACATAATAAATTCTTGATTTCTAAATAAAAAAATTCAACCATCAACATATCTCGTATAAATAAAAAAACCATTTCAATTTTATTGATATATTTTTCCTACAAGTTTAATTTTATTCAAGTTATGAAGTATTTAATTTATCTAACAGTGTAAATATACAAACTTAAACAATTGATCACATTAGGCGAGGTCTGAGTTGATTATAATTATTTGGAAAATTCGAATTTTTGCTCCTGTAATCCTGCCCCAGTATTTTTTTTCTTCCAAGTTCTTGAGGTGATAATAATTGATGGTGCAGGTTAGAAATGTTGATCTAAGTTGCTTATACAGTAAAGTGAAGATTGCTGGCACAATGTTGTGTGTGTTAGGTGCCCTTACACTGAGCCTAGTGCAGAGCACTGTGCCACCAAAAGATGCAACAACTATGTCTTCCCAAACCGGTCGTCGTCTTGCCGTTTCGACCGAGATAAGATCATCCGTTGCCTGTACCTCGTAATAGCTGTCTTGGGTATATATGAAACAAATCATGTATGTATGGATGTTGAACAAAGTTTGGTTTAATGCAGTATTGCCGGAATGTTTCTGGTGTTCACTGGTCAGTACGCGGATTCGGACAAGCTGTTGTTGAATTAGTATTATTGATGTTTTATTATGCATGTATTATATAAAGCAAATTCGTCCATGTATATTAAAGTCAAAGTATATATATACATACACATATACGTACATAAAGTCTTCAGTGATCAGCTCATCACCACCAAACCCAACATACCAAAAGTCTTCCCCCCAAGGCTCTATCTACCTCAATAAATCCACTCTTCTCTATTTTCTTCTGTCACAAACCAGAAAAAAGATTCCCAGAAAATGGAGGGTGGGTCTTATCCCTTTGGTTTACCGAACACTGAAGAACACCAAAACCCGCCGGCAATACGAGTGTCTCCGTCCAGCGTACCTCAACCTTACAACATTTCGGATTTCTACGTTCAGAGTCCGAGTCTGAGTCGTATTCATTTCTATATGGAACCAAATAATAATTCTGTCGCTGAGAGGAATCTCGGCAGCCGCAGTCACCACCGACGGATGTCCATGGGAGATATCTCCTCGTCCGCGGAAGGGATGAAAATTACCGGGGATTCTCCAACACCGGCAGGGTTGAAACCTACGAGGTTTAGGAGCCACAGGATGTTTTCATGTGTGACCGGTTGCTAAAAGATACACATATATAATTACTTATGATGAACTGATGAAATTTAAGTTTTTAATTGGCAATCAAATGTTCATTTCTGGCTAGTAATCGTTATTGAATATGATTATGCTTTGATTTTAGCAATCTTTTGCTTCCAAATCTGAAAAAATATAATTTGCAAGTATAATATATATTTTAGCAATCGTCATTAGAAAACAGAAGAGTTAGTAGGGTCCAAAACGAGGAAGCCATTGATATTTTGTAATCTCATGATCACTAAAGTCGAGCCTTTTTTTAAGACCCATCGTCATTACTCAACAAGCAACTATAAACAATCTATATAT